TTTAATTTATACCTTGATAATACAAATTAAAAAATTCCTTCTTTTAAATCTCTCTATACGAAGTGCACATTTTTAATCCTAACCTTAAAAGTTAAAAGACCGCAGAATATTCAAAAATTAAAAGTTGAATTATTTTTTTTATTAATTTTTAGATATTTAATAATTTTATTGTATCTCAATTAATCCAAAATTAAATTACATTGAATTTTATAACTCTCTTAATATCTATTTTTTCATTTATAAAACTTAAATTTGAGATATTATTTAAAGAGAATCTTACTCCTTTCATCAATAAACTGTTGCTATTAAAAGTTGAACTATTAAAAAAATACTAATGGGAACAAAATTTGTATCTTATTTATTTAGAAGGAAAACGACAGCGTGGCATATGACAAGTGTCATTGTCTCACATATTCTGGGGAGGAACCGAATGAATCCATTTTAACCAAGACGACCGGAAAGGAAAGAGAGAGATACGCCGGGAACAATGGTATGCCCTCAATCCTAAATACCCCATTGCTTTTTTCCTTATCCTTTTCCAAGCTCTTACCTTTATTTCCCTTTCTTGAATTCTGGGAGGAATTTCTTTCCTCCTCTTCTTACATTTCCCTTTTCGTTTTGAACCCAGTTGAATTCTCAATAGCAGCAACCTGGTATGGCAACTCTCTCTTTCTCTCTTACATTTTTATAAATACCCCATAACCATGCATTTGGGTTTCTGCATCTTTTTATTTCAAGAATCAAGAATCTGATATCACAGTCTGCAGTCTGCAGTCTGCCCCTCATTATTTCTGGTGGTGTATATTTGTGTGTTACCACTTTACATACATTTCATTGCCTTGTACTTATTAGATGGTTTCTTTTCCTTTCACATGCTTTCTCATTTGTGTTAATGTTAGTTTTGTTGCTAGAGGCCATAAGCAAGTATTTAGTTGTGCAATAGGGATGGGTGTCAGCTTTAAATATTGGGATGATTGTGTTGATCCCAAGGACATGGAAGCAATGTGGAAGGAACCTGAGGTTAGAACTGAATGGATAGATGCTGGGGAGACTCAAGGTCAAAAGGTTCATCTCTCAAGGGATCCTGATGGACAGCCGTATTTGACACAAATTGAGATGAAGGTAAAAGCAAATTGAATAATTCATCTCCTTAATCTGAGGCAACCTTAGTTGTAGCAAGCTGCTCTTTCGTGAATTGAGAAATTCTGGTACAGACATTTGTTTCCAGCAATTTCATCTGCTTTTACCTGATATGTTTTGGTTTTCTTTCAGGCCGTTGCTGATATTGTCATTCACAGGCATTTTGATTCCAAGTTGGATCCAGTATGTCATTACAGTTGAATCTGTATCTCCTCTACTGTGCTTTTCTTTTCTAGATTACAAAAAAGTTTTGTCATGTGTTTTTTCGACCGGCTGATGTTAAGAAAGTATTGGAATTCTGGAATGGATTTGGGATTTGGGATGAATTAGTAAAGCAATCTTCAAATTCCATTCTCCAGCTGTTAATATATACTTCTCTGGCCATAGAATATTCCCTGTGCATATTCTGGATTTGACACTTTTTTTTTCAATATTCCACCCATGCAGAGTTGAAGGCTCCATTTTCTAATCTCCAAGCTTGGTCCCCTATTTCATGTTTTGCAGGAGATGATTTGCGCTATTGCAGAGCTTGAAAGTGACAGACAACCGCTGGCCATACGATATGAGAAAAAAATAAAGGACACAACAATAGGGATCATGCAACTTTTGCCAAAAACAGCAGAGTGGCTGTCCGGGTACAACTTGATGTCCTCTTCCTATTTTGAGTGCGAATTCCCAGTTAAAGGTTTCATTAATGCTTTAATCCTACTCTGGATTTATGAAGTTATATTTGCAAGTTTCTTTTAGGGAGCATGGTTATCAGTCATATCAAGTGCAAGGGATTCCAGATCTTCTGTTTAGGCCTTTCGTTAGTGTATATTTTGGAGCAGCTTACCTTGAATGGTTATCAAACTTTGAGGGCAAGTCAGTGAACAGTTTAAGAGTCTTTAGACTTCAGATTCATTTTTTTGTACTAGACTTGCTACCATTTGATTGCTAAAAAAATAGTTTGTTGAATTACTTAAATTGGAGCGTTTGTTCACAGAGAAAGAAGTGAAGAATTTGTGGTAAGAGCATATAAAGGTGGTACGAAAAAGGCAACTCACAAATCAACTCTGCCATATTGGAAGCGGTATCTTTCGGTGAAGGAAAGTCTTCCATACCGGTGATTGTCTCCAATCCACAGTCATCATCTATATTGGAGAAATGTATTTATTCAAAATTTTTAAAAGATCTATCCAAAATACTCCAATTTGGAGATGATAGAAAATGCAGACATGTTTGAGAATGCTGTTTCACCTTAGCCATTATTTGGGCTATGATCTACTGCCATGTTTATCACTTTGATGAAATTTTGTTTCCTTATTTCCTCAAATCAGAAAGTTTCATCTGTACTTGCAGTCTGTATCATAAGTACTTGAATTATTTGTATATCCATTCCTCTATGTCATTTAGCTTCTTCAAATTGTAAAAGAATCTGATTGTGAGCTATCTGAAGTAATACTTGCAAATGAATGTTTTATCATCTGTTAAGAGATAGAAGTGAAAGAATATGTTTTAACATAGCTAGTATATGACTGAAAATTGATTGCCATTTTGATGTTTGATGTGTAGAAAAATTTGTGATCGTCCTTCCCCTTCTAAAGCACCGAAGTCACCAACTTCACCATGCTCCCCACGCTCAGGTTTGTCCCTCTCTTGGTCACTTTGAGGTTACAGGTAATCCCTTCTGAAATGGAAATTTAAGTTCCATCATTTTGATTGAAAGATTGTGCTACAAGTGCCAGAATTATGTTCTGGATATTTTAATTGTTTTGTGAGTTTTTAAAATACTTTATAAGGGTTACAAAAAGCATCTTTGATTGCCCACAAGAGGAAAAAGAATGCAAGTTATGGGCAATCTGAATATAATAATGAAAGTGCATGCTATGAATTAGTTTCTTTTAAAATAGTTAGTTTTTATGATGTGACTATGTTTCCTCAATGGTGGAGGATACAGGCTCTTATGTATATTGGGACTCTAGAGTTTCCCCTGAAGATATGGAAGAGATGTCAAATCATCCAGCTATGTCAAAGGGATGGGCTCCATTTAAAGAAAAAAGAGAGAAAATGCGCTTTGCACTTGATGGAGAAAAGAGGCCATATCTTTCTCGAGCAGAACTGAAGGTATGTATCAAAAGATTTTGATTTAGTAGTTTTTTTTTTTTTTTTGTTGGGTAAACATTAAAGTTTAGGTTTTTCTGTAAAATGTTAAAAGCTTAAGTACGTGTACACTACCTTCTCACTTCAAAGCACTAAATGTTCAATTTCATTCTAGCATTTACTTGCTTAACTGAAGGTGAGAATCCTGTAGACCCTTGACAATCAGTTCAGTACTATATTCAAAGGAAAATTTTTAGAATAGAAGTAGGCTTTATGGTACTTTCTTGTGAAAATTGGATAGAGGGCTGTGTTTAGAGACTGTTTGGTTGCAAGGAACAATCTGAACAAATTATTAGAAACACGCTGGCTATAGAATCCGTCAACAAAGCTTCTCAACACCCTTGGTGATTTTTCTTAGTCCTGCCAAGTGTTCTTGACTCAAACAATTTTCCATTTGTTGTTTTCTTAGTTTTCTCAGTCAGAAAGATGCCATAGTTTTCTCCTTCTTTGATATTAATTTACCAAACATCCAAATTTTTAGTGGCATATGATGCACTGGATCCCTCGTTAGAGGATTGACTTCAAGATGCTATTTTTATCTCAGTTAAAACAAGGTGATTGTCATAGCCAAAAAGAGATTCTTCATTTGTTGTTTTTGTGTTATCTCATTCTCAAGATTTTGCTGCAAGAAAGTAAAATTTCTCTTAGGGAACTTTTAGAGCTTGAACATATCCAGTATATTATCTTGCCAAAAGGTTTCTAAGCATTTCCTCTAACAATTATTCTTCTAAATCCTCAATCCATTATTTCTTTCCTAAGCATATGTGTCTTCAAATACCTTAGACAAATGGATATGTTTCTCCCATTTGTTTTCAAAAACCTACTTTTATGGATCTACTACTTTCTATGGTATCATATTGTCTTCATTCACTGACATGGGTGCTCCCCTATTGCAAATCCAATTACCATGGGTGAAGGTAACTTGCATTAATTATATGAAGTATGAACATGTTGCATTCCAAATCAATGATATTGATTTTTCTATCAGAACAATGATATTGATGTTTTGTTGCAGGCTATAGCAGAGATTATTGTCTCGAAGTATTTCAGTACAAGGGGAATCAAACCTGTAAGTATTAGTAAAAATTCATATGATGTAAAACAAAATCTAGTAATGCAGTTAGCTTTGTAGTTGATTATGTCAATCATGGCTCAGATCATATGGACATTTGGAACCTAACCTAGAGATGCACATTGATTTGATAAGTGAAAAGAATGAAGGGTAGTGGTAGACTGAATTTTACATGGATTAACGTGGACAGAAAGGATTTTGATTTGGGCATCTCTTCTAGATTTGAAAAATAGAGTTCCAGTCTCCTAGATCAGGCAATATGATGGGGAAAAAAAGGGAAAAACAATTCATGTTGCTGAACCAGACAAGCTTGGATGAAGCTCAGTTGTGTTGAAGTTTCTTGTCTTCTTGAAGATATTTTAACCTCAAACTTCCATTTTTCATGTCTTTCTGCTTCTTTAGAATGTCATTTTTTTTCCCCTGAACTTCCCTTTTTCTGTGTTCCTCACTAATGATTTATATCTTGCACAGGTAGTTCTTTGTGCTTTGGCAGAGATGGTTAGCAGGTGTATTCTGGATGGGGATGGATCGCGACCCGGATTAATGGGAATTGACTATTCTACAGCTTTCTGGCTTTATATGTGAGTGAAAGAGAACCAACTGAATTTTTATCATGCACAGTAATTTATGAAGGATCTAAGATTTTGGTCAAACCCTACTGGTCACTGAATATTTGAATTATCATAGCTCCTGGTTGGTGTGGGATTATTTCATACAAGCTCATAAATCTAGACCACCCCAAAAAAAAGTTCATAAATTGATATCAAGAAAGGTCATTTAGATTATTAGAAACATGACTTTACCCTTATGTTCCCCTTAGCTATATTTTAACTTGGTGTTCAATCAACCCTTTTGAATTGTATATTAATGATGGAATATGTTTAAAAATTTTCATCTTAGGGAGGTGGGTTACAGAGCTTATCGAGTGGATTATGTTGAAGATCTGACCAAGCCATTTGTGTCCATGTATTTTGGTGCGGCCTATTATGCATGGTTATCAGAATATGAAGGGAGGTAGGTTTGTAAGATTTTGTACATCCTTTTCTTTTGTCTAATTCAACACACTTTTACAATGTTCGGGTGAGACAAAGTCACAACTTCTTCACGATTGCAAACACAGGGAAAGGACTCCACAGTTTGTTGTTCAGGCTTATTTTGCTGGACCAAAGAAGGTTAATCTTCAGGAGACAGGTCCACTCTGGCTTAAATTTGAGCAAGCTTTGAGTAATTTTGAAGAAAGAGCAAGGTAGGCACTATCCTTCCTACAAATGAACAAAAGAGTTGCTGTGTTTATTTCAAATTAAGTAGTTATTGCTCTTACTTCTCTAGGGATCAAGAGAGCTGCAGCATCCTGTAACTGATACAACATCACCGTTTCACACAGTTCTTTGCCATCCATTTTCAAGTTACACGGTTTTTATCTTGTTTCAAAATTATATCAAAGAGTTACTGGGGAGCCTTGTTTCCCGTGATACACTAGGAAATTCAACAAAAAAGACCTCATTCTTCCCTGATTCTGTAAATTTTCCACTTTCTACATCTTGCAGGAACAATGAATTCAATTGTGTATCTTTCTACATTTTACCCAATGTATTGAAGGTTTCTAGCTATTTATAGCCTCTTTTTTCCTGTGCTTTTTCTCAGCAGTAACCGCTGTTCATTTATGGCCAAGATTAATGACAAAGCATACTCCTTTAATTTCATTTCATTACAATTGTAACTGTCATGACACCTCAATCCTGTAACACATTAGCACATTTTTGCCTTATGGCTCCATTCCTGCATGATATAAATGGCATGGTAAATTGATATCCTTTAATTTTAAAAATGCACCTTTCATGTTTACCCCACCATTGTTAGTGGATGTGAAGGTGCACCCTTACAATATGTTTGAGTTGAGAGGAAGAAAGGTAGGGAAATGGTATCTTTCCATTCCCCTCCCCTCCCCTCAATAAGTAAATAATTTTTTTTTTTTAAAAAAAAGAGCGTCAAAGGACTTTCTTCACCTCTTCCCTCCTCCAATTTTTTTTTTTTTTATAACCAAATGAAGAAAAATTTTCTCCTTTCTTCATTCCTCTAGACTCAAAAGTACTGTCAAAGATTGGGAGAGATTAGTGGTCCTAGGGACACTGGAGGGATTAGTGGCCCCGGGAAATACCATAAATAAACTATAATAATAAGAATAATAAAACTATTGCCATCTTTGCTCCTAGTGTTTAATTTCTAGGTTCACAGTATGGTCACCTATGCAATTTCATCATTTCTCTTGTACATATCAGATATCTTTTGCTCATGATTATGATACTAAAAAGAGCCAAATTTGCCCTAATCATATCAGATTGCTTACCGGATTTTTCAGGATTTAGATTCACTCTCTAGAGAACAAAAAGCCTCTAGTTTTTCTATTATAAATACTGCTAAGTTCTCCATTGAACATCCACACCTGACTCAGCTTTTTATTATTCTCTACTCTTTCAAACCTGAACTATATTCTTCTCTGTAATGAGGGCTGAGATGACTTCATTGCTGTTGTTGCCGCTAGAAGAGAAGGGACAGGAAAGCTGGAGCAAGAGGAAGAGGAGGAAAATAAGCAATGAAAATGCAAATCAAGGTTCCAAAGACCTTGATGATTATCGGATTAGTGATTTACCAGAACATCCTCTATGTTGAGGTATAATATTTAGGCAGTTTGCCATAGAGTGTGTTTTAAAACACATTCTATTTGGTTGTCTTGCCTAAACATTATATACCTGGAATGGTGGTTTGAGGCATTGGAGGTGACATGTCTGTGGACATGAAATGCAGCAGAGCAGAATAATAAAGAACCCCTAATGTCTCAAATCACGCATTCATAGAGGAGAAGAAAGCTGTGAGCTGAGCTCTGCTAATCTATAACGACTGCTGCTGAGAGACAAAAGGAAATTCCCCATCCGGGGAAACATAATCAGCACAGTGTTGTCAGAAAAAGGAGCACAAAGCTGAACTCGGCTAACAGCACACTGCAGAAACTGCAGATAATTAGAACACTTTAGAAGGTAGATTGATTCCCGATGTAGATAAGACCCTTGTTCCATATCCCACTTTATGAGAGATTAAACAAAGAATATTGTAACGAGAGTTTGGATTTCTGTATTTCAATTTTGTCTTCTTTTTTTCAGTATATTAATAAAAAAGAACACAATTGAAAGAACAAGCATCCTTCTGAATCTTCATTTCTCGAATATATAGAACGCAAACAGGATTATTATTTATCAAGAAGGTGTTATTGTTAAAGGGTAATTGTTCTACCAACTGACTTTATTGCTTATACAACTAGATGAAATGAATTGATTATCGTGATAATATAAGAAGGAGAGAGCATCAAATTTGAAGTTCATAGCTATAAAGGTTGTAGGGCAAACATATTTGATATTAGATAATGCAATCAGCATGTTCTTGGTAGTTTCTTGTTTTTTCTTTGGCAAGACATACCTCATGAATCATTTATCACAGGAGGTCTGTAGGGAGTTTTCTATCTCCTGTACAATGAAAACAGGTCTGAAAAAGCCAGCAGCAGACAGCATCAATCTCTACACTGATACATGGCTTAGAGAAGGACAAAAAATGAGCAATGAAATGTTCACCTTGAGTATATGGGGGTTTCATGGAGAAGAAGAATGTCATTTCCCAACTAAGTGGAGAATCCAGGTCAAACTTAGATTAAGTTAGATCAAACAAAGATGAACGCCACCACATGATCTGCTCAACCTCACTCCAAAAATCAGACAAAGAGTACAGCTATAAAAATTTTGCTACTTGGTTCTTCCCCCTGTAATAAGAATTAATTTTAATAGGCATAAATCTGCAACAATATGTTATCATAATACAAAAAAGCAACTTTTAACGTTCTGAACCACCTAAAACAACAGCCATATCGTTCACTGGAATAAAAAAAAAAAAAAAAAATCAGTTTTGATAATTCACTCCTAAAATTCTGAGTGTGGAACTTTCCAATACTAATTCTAAAACGTCTAGGCTGGATGACAGCTTGAACAAAACAGTGGAAAGAAGATTTATCATAAAATGCATTTTGTTACTGAACAGGTAAGAGAAAATGTAACATCTCTGAGTAGACTACAGAAATTTTGATCCTAAAAGCATTTAAAAGTAGTAATATACGACAGATGCATTGCTTTGATATGCTAGTTTTTTTTAACTAATTTGAAAGGGCAACATCCAGAGAAAACAGTTCTTGAAGCAAACAAAATCCAAAATTTCTTGTTTAATTCCAAGAATTTGAATTACCATTTCCCCTCTTTCCTCTCAATGCAAGTCTCTTCCTGTCATTCCACACTTTCAAATTTCTTTCCAAACATGCGTTCTCCTCTGGTACTAAGTCCTAAGTGACTAAGTCACTGACTGTTATAGTCAACTAAGCCCCATTTTCTTTTTCTAGTGCTAGCTACATTCCAGTCAACCTATTTTAAAAAGGGAAATGTTGTTTTAGGCGAACTGCGCTCTATTTTTCTGTTAAAAACATAAAAATGGTCTGGAACCAATGAGAAGCTGAGTGTACCTGCAATCAGGTAGCACTTATCTCCTAAAAATGTTATTTTAACTTGGCCTGATTTTGGGTTCCAAACCTCACTTCAAAATAAGTCAGCATTAGACAATCCTTGAGTTCATGGCAAGGTTTGACCAGGTCAAAATGAACTGTTGACAAATCCTAATCCTGGAATTGATTAGGCCACTTCTGGACTGATCCTTGGTGTGTTGGCCCAATCGCCATCTCTATTCAAGAAAAGCTTTTATGGCAACTCAACCAAAAAGAATCCAAACAACAGATTCATTACCAAAGTCAGGTAATTTGAGAGATTTACTTTCCAAGTCAAGCATTTTCAAAGTTATCTTTTCTTCCCAAGAAATTTAAACCAGAAGCCTCTATTTTGGAAGGTATATTTTATTCCATTTCATGATTTTTTTTTTTCCCAAACCATTTCATGACACAGTAAGTTTTGTAGCCCAAGCTAGTAAAATTAACAAAAACTAGAACTGTCAAATGGGGATGGACCACTCCTATAATCAAGGAGTCTGCCCCATCTAATGATTATTGTTGTACAATTCAGACTGCATAACAACATTTTTTGTTCATGATATTAGATTCAAAGAAAACCAACACTGAAGTTCATTCTCTTAATCTATAAATATTGAGTAGAGCCTAATCATTTGCATCCCAAACAAATCCACAACCACTCAAGTTCTCTAATAAGATCATGAGTATTACTGTGAGAAAGGGAGAAGTGGCTGCAGACCAAGAAGAGGAAAAGAAAAAGAAGAAGAAAAAGGCCATGAAGAGATCCTAACATGATTGGATTAGTGATTTACCAGAACCATTTAGAGGTGAGACAATTCTACATTTCTACTCTCCATACAATATCTATGTTATTGATAGTATGTATGGCTTTGCTATATTTAAAAACTTACATATTTAATTCTTTTCACGGAGGTGTTGCCTGGACTTGCCCTCATACAGCACAGCCAACATTGAGCAATGAGTAACTCACCCAGGGTTTTGGAGAGAGCTGAGACATGCAACTTATGGCTGTTGGTAGCTGATTTTGACAACCATGTCTGGTTCTTTTTCCATGGGGGAAGCACCAAGTCTTCATGACTAGGGATTCTCCCCATTTCACATAGAACCAGATAGTAAAGTTCAGTCAAACAACAGCCAGTTGAACATTTCTTGAGGTCCAGCGGTTCTGTAACAATGTGTTGAAAGCACCATCTTGATGCCATTGAGAACTGATGGAGGCCCCTGACGGGCAAGCTCTGGGGGCAGTCCAGTTCAAAGGAGCCAGGACAACCTTTTGTCCCAGCTGTATTGCCTCCTCTTCCTCTTCCATTTATTTGCACTCTCTCCACAGTCATCAGGATCCTCAAAGATGGAAAAGAGGATTATTACCATGACAATCATGGAACTTCTGATGTCAAAATTCCCCGGCGTTCATCAGTGTTGGGTCTATTTACAGCATTTGATGCCCAACAGGGTTGAAGATCCAGTCATGGCCCCCCTGCTGACTTCTGCAAGATGGTCACCACAATTGGAAGGCCTTTGTTACCTACAATTAGAGCTAGACCCGTTATTAGATGAAAAATACCTGTCTTCTATGTAGCTTCAAGCTGAGCACTATTCAAGGAGAGTAGTCATGCGTAGTAACACAAAATTGTGAATTGAACCATGTTAGACCTTGTAACCTAATTAAATAGTACAATTGAAGTATAAATCTTACAACTTTTCTTTCTAAGCATTTTCTCTTTCTCTGTACTGTAAGGCCACTTCTGACATTGGATTTGCCTCTGTCACCACCATTCTGCTTTAGAATATAGAGAAATACATAGTCATTAGTGTTGAGTAATATTTTCCTATATAATATGATTTTAAACACCAAAAACATGCATCAAAGAACACTTGCTTGCCTGACTGAGGGCATCATTGGCATCCACTGGTTTCTGCAAAAACATCCGTGAACACTTTCCCACATAAAATGGAAAATTTTTATCAAAGCATGATACAACTTACCAACAATATTGTATTCTATGATTGTACCAGAATGTAAGATGGAAGAGAACCGAGTGACATTTGATGTCTTGCCAGGGAAAAATTTTCAGAAGGGCAACCTACATAACATAAGTCATTAGATACATAGGTTTGAAGTATTTCCCCTCTTCTTTTCTTTTTGATAAAATGCCTTCGCCTTAGAGGCTTGGATTAATCAAGCCAGCATCTGTTTAACCAACAGAATTGGGTTTAATTAACTGTAGAATTGTGTTTAACTCCAAGATCTTTAGTAGATGTAAGGCATTTGGTACATAGTTGATTGCACTGGTACTGTAACTAAATTTAGAAAAGAGGAAAAAAATTAAAATTTTTGTAGAAGAGTTCGAAGAAAATTGCAGAATTCTTTTCAAAGCTTGTCTGATTTTTCATTTCATAACAGTGCTTTGTGTCAAAACTAGATGAGCTTGAAGGCTACATTGTCTTGATGCTATGTTGTTCATTGTTTTGCAAATACGTAGCTTGCCCCACATCATGTAATGAATTATCCAGTTTAGTTTCTTAGTGCATTGAAAGTAAGTTGGAACATAACTCTTCATAGATCTAAAGCAGATACTTTCATTCTATCAATTTGTTACAGCACTCTAGTATAGGATCTATTTCTTTTATCAACCATACTAAGTCTGTAATTGATCCATCCATAATCATTGGACAAAAAAAGAAAAAAAAAAAGAAGAGAAAATGTTATTTAAAACCGCAAATTAATGATACATATACAAGTCATATAAGTAACATGGGGATAATCATATCTTCACTTCAACACCAGCTCCACATCACCATAGGCAGCTGTTCATAAAGGATATCTACAACCTATGTCGGCTCTCAGCTGCATCAAATACAAGCATTGTTATTCCCCCAAGCAGTAGAAAATTTCACCTACTTCTAGTATTAGAAAATACATCTCAGCAAAGTATGATGTCAAGGATTCTATGGAATAACAGCTATCTGATTTAGTTGACACAACCCTTTCTTGTAATTAATACACATACATATATATATATTATAGAAATTAAGAGAATCAAGTATAGAAGTACAAAATATACTAAGAAAGAACAGTAACATGATGAAACAATTACCTCAGTAGCAGAAGCTTCATTTCCTTCCTCCCATGACCACCATCATCTTCCCTTTTTTTCCTCCACGACCCTTTTCCCATGGCGTCTTTGATAAACCTTCAGTTCCTTAACCTCCGGTTTATGGAGAGAAGCTTGTGGTTCTCCCGCCTCAGTAACCTACGTCAGAGAATGTTTGTTAAAAAAATAAAATAAAATAATTTAAGAACCATAGACAATTGGGGTTGGTTCAATTATTAAACACCATTTATAATGTTTGAAAAGACTTAAGTTGAAGCCTATCTCGATTTCATATTAGGTATTTGGTAATAATCTTGGATGATTAAATGATCAAATTATAGGCTGAAGCGAATGTATCTTACTGAGAGTAAAATTGTTATTAGAGTTGAAATAACACAAAATGGAAGATTTACCTCCTGAGCAGGAGTTGTGTTGGGGGCTGCTAGTGAGGGAGCGCAGCACTTGGGGCATTTCCAGTCCCCATCTGGAACTTTCTATGAGTATAAAAAAAGATGTTAGTAGTACTAGATTTATAATCATATAAACAAATAAATCAAGAAAAGGTGCTTAAAATATATACCTCTAGGGGTGGAGTTAGGCACTCCAAGTGATATGTCCTAGGACAATCATCACAGCAGAGGAGAAATCCTTTAGCGTTGCATACGACACACACAAAAAAGGACTGAAAAACAAAAGACAGAAATCCATTAGGCATTAGGCTTAGGGATCAGAAAAGTCCTAGCTTTTGTTACATTTTGGATCAGTTTGAACCAAAACTTGGATACCATTAATCTGCTTATTGCAATAAATGATTCAAAAGAGAACTCACTCCATCAGCACCAATTTTTCGTTGAGGACTTTCTGCAGCATCCTTTTTCTGAGACATGATCTTGACAAAGACCATTAGAACAAAGCCAGTAAATCTTCTTCTGCCATCCAAAGAAGAAAAGGTTAAAAGCATGTCCCAAAATCAGAGTAGATCAGTTTTTATATGTTATAATGCCTTTTTTGTAACACAAGAACATTGTAAACTTCAATGATTCATGATCCGAATGGAGTTTCTCTTGCTCAATGCTAGAAAGTTTACTGGTTAGTAGATGAGAAATCTGTAATAGAAAAGTTAAAACAAACAATTCTTGCTACATTTGTCCAGAAACAAAACAACTCCTAAGAGAAAACATACCAATTCTTGTATCTTCCTCTTGAAATATCGAAATTCTAACAATCTTTAACATGACAACAAATTTTTTAGTGTTCCTATTTGCTAGAACCCGATCTGACATACAAAACTTTGGCAAAATAGGAACAAAAGGATAAGACACAGCCTTTAAAAAAAGATAAAAGAGAAAACATAGTTTGATTACCAGCAAGAAGTTTAGTAAAAATAATTAATGGAACAACCAAAAGCTATATGGACCAACCAGTAGAGAATTGAAAACAAAGAGGTTTTCTCTGCAGGATGTAGGAAGCTGTGTAAGGAAGAGTGGAGTGAAAAGGCTGATGAGTGGGGATGCAATTTATAGGGAGGGAAAGGGATGGGGTGGGGGGGTTAGTGAGGATGCTAGAAGGGTGATGAGTTGTACAGGGGCCAATGAAATAAATGTGAAGATGCACTTGGCGTTGTTTCTTACTGGCTAATTTTTGTCATTCCTGAGAGACTCTGGTTTTCTTCTTTGTCCCCATTTTTTTTTCTTTTTTTCATTAGATAGAAGTAGTAGAGGAAATTGAAAAGTGATTCATCACATTTCATTTGAATCTGGTTAAAGTTTTTTTTAAATTGTGCCTTTAGGGCACATGATAAGAAATTTAGAAGAATAAAAAGTAATATTTAATTTATCAACTATTTAATTAAATTAATTTATGTGATAATAACTCTAAAATTAATATAAACTTTTATATTTTTTCATACAAATTTGTGACAAAAAAAAGTATTTAGAGTATAGGTTAGAAAAACCTTTAATTAAATTAGTGGAGTTTAAATTTGATTTGAAGAGCATTGTGTTTTTAGTAGAAAACATAAGGTTTATTTCCAAGAAAAAATAGTTCAAATGTGAGAAGAAAAATAGAAAGTAGAAAAATTACTAGTTAGTAGTATAGGATAATGCAAAAGAAAAGTTAACTTTTCATCATAAGATTAGAGTAAGTAGCTCTTTGTTAAGAAAAGTTCAATAAGTAATTAATTAGTGTATAGTTCTATGAATGGAGGAATTTGTTAGGTAGTTATCCGTTATGAAAAGTTCGGTAAGTAGTTAATTAGTGTATTGTTCGATGTTTATCGAAACTCGTTAAATAGTTCATTAATTTGTTAAATAGTTATTCGTTATAAAAAGTTTAAAGGAATTCGTTAAGTAGTTTT